AACTAAAAATTTCTTTATATTTCATTTCCAAAACAATTATTTTCAAGCCATTAACTTTCGAATCCTTTAACAAGCTTTTCTCAATGCTGAGGAATTGCATAAAGTATTACTCTTACCCCTTTCCTTATTTCCATTTGCCATTTGCCATTTGCCATTTCTCTTTTATTTATTTTTTTTTCGATCAAAACAATCTCGACTATGCTTTTAGTACACTTTTCGCTACTCTTATTAAATTGTTCCTACCCATTGTAGCTGTTTTTGCATATCCTCTAGTTTGTTTACACATTCGCCTCTTTCATTTGGGTATTTAGAAAAACTACTTGAATTGTTTTTCTTTCATAAGCAAGCATAAGCTTTTATATTCAGCTTAGTATAATTTTAAGCTGCGTTAATAATTAGAAAATTAAATGTTAAGTAAGCTTAAGTTTAGACATTAATCAAACTTAGTTAAATATGTGCGCACAATGGGCTTAAATGAGATGTAGCAATATGCATTTTGATATGTTCCTTCCATCCTGAATTGTATACGCGGGTATTATTTCCCCAGAGTAAAAAATTTTTTATTGGCTGGCCATACGATAAAAAATAATGTGGAAAAAATTTCACATTCTGGCCAGTCAGTAGTTTTAGAATTTTTGATATGATTTCACGGCGCAACGCTGCGGGTTTAAGCCATGAGTAGTTCTACTGGCTCTGCTGGATGATGCAAGATGACAGCAGCAGGCATAAGCTTAACATGCGAGGCTTAACATTTGAGGAATTGAAATTTCCCTTTTGAAAATTCCCAGTAATGCCTTATGTTCAACCGCAACGTCCCTAATTTATATCTGACTAGGATGACAGATGATAACAAAAAAAAATGACGCTAATTTTACTTTAAAAACAAGGTTAGGTATAGCACTTTTATGGCGAAAAATTTAACAACACCTCTACCAATTCCAGTGAATAGTACTCATTTAATTAATTTTGTAAATTGTTTCATTCAAAGCTTCGCATTCGGCCATGAGGGGCCTTTTCCTGATCTCTTAAAGCGATAGGCCTTCCGTGCTCGCCGCAATACCAATTTAACTTTGCTCCATACACACCGCGACACGCGTGATTTCTTAAAGAAAAAACTTCTCGTCAGCTTCCGAATAGTAGAGTTATTGGAAGGTCTTGATTTATAAGATTTCCACATTTTGCTGACTGTTTAAATGTTAATCTTGGCTGCTTGAGTTTCCAAATATTAGTCGCATTAGTCAAACATTTCCAGGTAGAAATCGACTGCTGAATGGATGATCGACCTATCTCGACAGCCAGTTCGAAAACGCCCTATCTAAAAAAACTTTTCAAGAACGCCCTATTTCAGAGTTTTATTGAAAAACACCCTATCTCAGAATTCGGTTCAAAAACGCCCTATCTTACTTCAAAATGTATTAAAAATGTGCTGACATAGGGCGTTTTTGAATCGGCAGCTGAGATAGGGCGTTTTTGAAACGAATTCTGAAATAGGGCGTTCTTGAAAAGTTTTTTGAGATAGGGCGTTTTCGTACTGGCTGCCGAGATAGGTCGATCTTCCACTCAGCAGTCGAAATTAAACATTTCTATAAAATATTTTTTTTTTCTAAGACTATAATAAAATGATGATGGAAATGCCAAGTAAAGTCAAGTCCTTCTCCACTTGGTCTTTCCACTTGGTCTTCCTCTGCTACCACCGGCCAAATTTCCACTAGGCATTGAAATCACAAAAACTGTATGCCATTTAAAAAAATGCCATGTGGAAATGAACTTAATGACTATTTTTTTTTTTAGCGTAATAACGTGATTATTTTTTAATGCCCAACCTTGTCATATGTCATTTTTGCCATTTAATGCCTAGTGGAAATCCACCATTATAGAAAATGTAGCATTTAAAAAAAAAACAGAAAATGGCCACGAATCCATACTTAAAATCCGAGGCTAGAGCAAAAATATAATTGATTAATCTAGCCTCAGAAACACTGCCCAAAAACTCTTTAATATTACTAAAACAACAATAACAGCCACTATTAATTACCTATCAGAGCTAATTACGATCTTGGACTCACAGTGGCCTCGAACCAAATGCAATGGGCAGATCGGTAATATTTGCTATGGTAATATATAACTTTAGACAAATAAATTGTGACGCTAGCATCAGTTCTAATCCCCCATTTTTATTTCTTCCAAAGTGATTTCTAATTTCGGAAAGCAATCTCTGCCCAGTAAACTCCGGCCACTACCTGGAAATTGCGGTGCATGCCGCTCTCGAATCAACACCAAAAAGCATTCTAGCCCACTCTCTTAAACTAGCTTTTCCTGTAATTCTCCCCATATCGGCTTTTGCTCTTCTCAAAAACCTTCTATTTACTTGTGCGCACATACATTTGTATTTTGTTCAGCTTTAGTTTTAATCAACACTTAGTTTAAGAAAAACATTAAGAAAGAGCAATACTGATTTACATATATATATATAGATACACAATAGCAACGACAACAACACCCATAACAAGTATCGTATTAAAATTTGATTTTTATCTTGTTTTTTCATTTCATTTACTTTCTCTCATATGTAACTCTCTCTCTCACGCGACTCGCAACTCGCAAAATGCCGAAATGTGCATTCAAACATTTTAGCGATTGTACACCGAGACCTGTCGCAATTTGGTATGGGACACTCAAAATAACTTTTTATTATCAAAACATTCGAATTTTGTAAAAAAGAACGAACACAAAAAACAAACGTAATCTTAGTTTTTAAGTGCTGCTAAAAGTGCAAATGCAAAGCTGGTTCTACTACTTGTTGTATGCTATATTTAGTTTTTATTTTTTTGAGTTGGATTGCAATTTCAGTTTTTAAAATTTTCTGTTTATGTTTGCCTTTGAGTTTTGTTTTGTGGCCGTTTTGGTTGTTCCTTCTGCTGGCTTGTTTGCTTGCGATGATTTGTCGGTGTTGCAGCTTTGTTTTTTTTTGTTTTTATGTTTTGTTGGTTGGTTCCAGGCTGCTGCTATGCTGCGTACACGCCTACTTGTTCGGTATGTGTGTGTACGTGTGTATGCAGACGTATTTATGCTTTCACTAAACTTTTTTCTTTAAATTTAGCTATTTGCTAATTTCTTCCAGCTTTTGCTAAAAATGTCTACACTTTTTGTCATTTTGCTTACCTATCGTATCGCCTCCTCACCACTTAACTTATCTATTTGTGTGCATTTTCTTGCGCTCTTTGTCCACACAAATCCTGCAATAGAGTCATGATTTTAGTTTTCTCTCATTTCTCCACATTTCAACTGGCGAAAATGGCATGATATGTCAATTGTTTTTAGTTCTCAATTGCTAAATCGTTTCGAGATTGTTTCAATACTGTATTTTTTTTTTTAACTCAAGTGTTTTATGAAAACATTGTATTTGTTATTTGGCAACAAGGAAAGGACTGAAGTTTTGTTGTGATTTACTATATTAAATTTATTGGTTTATTGATTGGCTGAAATTTGATGTGCAAAATTTATTGAAAATTGTGTAAAACTTTTCTTAACTAAAACAAATTGAAACAGTACCAATACATTTAATTGTACTTTCTTTTTCTCTTTTTGAAATGCTGCCACAAAAAATGTGAATAAATCTCTCTCTCTCGCTCTCTCGCTCTCCCCTACTGCCAACAAATTATTTCCAAATCTTGGCAACATGCGGTTAAATAATTTCGTTTTCAAAAAAAAAAAATTAATTAATTTTTTATTTTTTTTTTTATGTTTGTTCCGAAAATAATTCCTGTTTTCCAAATTCGGCCTACACCTTTCGTTGTAAAAATATCCATCACTTTTCCTATGATTTCCTTTGTATTCGACTTCCAATCCTTTGTGTTTTTGTTTTTCATTGCCTTAAAAATTCTGCAACCCATTTCCTTCTGTTCGAAAGGGTGAAAAATCGCCCGGGCACAGAGCAGTCGCAATGGGCGTTTATCCCATACACAATCTAAAGAGTCTAGTTTGCTCCGGCGAAGATGTAAGTGTGATTTTTGTAAATTTATATAAACAAAAATAAAGAAAACCGTATTTCAAGTTGGTATACGTTGNGGCAACAAGGAAAGGACTGAAGTTTTGTTGTGATTTACTATATTAAATTTATTGGTTTATTGATTGGCTGAAATTTGATGTGCAAAATTTATTGAAAATTGTGTAAAACTTTTCTTAACTAAAACAAATTTAAACAGTACCAATACATTTAATTGTACTTTCTTTTTCTCTTTTTGAAATGCTGCCACAAAAAATGTGAACAAATCTCTCTCTCTCTCTCGCTCTCCCCTACTGCCAACAAATTATTTCCAAATTTTGGCAACATGCGATTAAATAATTTCGTTTTCAAACAAAAAAAATTTATCTTTTTTTTATGTTTGTTCCGAAAATAATTCCTGTTTTCCAAATTCGGCCTACACCTTTCGTTGTAAAAATATCCATCACTTTTCCTATGATTTCCTTTGTATTCGACTTCCAATCCTTTGTGTTTTTGTTTTTCATTGCCTTAAAAATTCTGCAACCCATTTCCTTCTGTTCGAAAGGGTGAAAAATCGCCCGGGCACAGAGCAGTCGCAATGGGCGTTTATCCCATACACAATCTAAAGAGTCTAGTTTGCTCCGGCGAAGATGTAAGTGTGATTTTTGTAAATTTATATAAATAAAAATAAAGAAAACCGTATTTCAAGTTGGTATAAAGTGGACGTTTTTAAAACACATTTATGTAATGGAAAATCTCAATGTAACACAATTTTGCTTAGTGTTTGAATGATTCACTTCTTTTGTTTAGTAAAAATCGAATCAATGCGTATTTCTTTATAAAACATTCGATGTATTTAAATTAAATGATTGGTGGAAGTCATCGCCGTGTTTTATTGCACCGCTCGTTCGCATCATCTCACCAAAATGTGATTTTTACTTTGATTTTTTTTGTTTGAATGTTTTCGATAATCTCAGCATTCAAATTGAAATATATATGCACATATATGTGTATGTATGTATGCACATATATATTTTCAAATTAGCTGGTCAATTTGACATTTTTATAACAAAAAACCAAACGGGTCTGGAAGAAAATACTAGTCGATTAAGAAAACTATCCTGAATAATATATCCAAAAAGTACTATCCAGATTCTAATCTAAAGATGAGCAAGAAAATAACAATCCTGTAAAGTGTTTCCCTAATCTATTTTTCAACTCGATAGATTCAGTAACTTTGAGAAGAATTTTACGAATCCGTTCAAATACTGTTTGAAATATATATCGGGATAACAAAGTAAACGAATATAAACTAGATTTGTGTACTCTTCGGGTTCTATCCGTTTGCGCGAATATCCGAACAGATATCTGGATATTCGAATATACGGATAGTTCCAGCACTAATTTGTCGATTATTTTGTTACTGAGCGAGAATAATTGTATTTTTTAGAAATCAAGTAAAGTAACAGTACAAATTGTAATGTTACAGGTAAGATTTGTTGCTATAAAACGAAAAAACTTTCCATTTTGGTCAAATTAGGAAGCGACACAAAGCAAATACGTACTTATGCACTATAACTTTTTGGCATAACTTTACTTTTTATCGCATCAAAAAACGCAAACAAATAGTACGGTACTTCCAAGGTTGAACTACAACCCATACAAATAAAAACTACAATAAAATCACACAAACATCAACAACAACCCTAATAAAAATTATAATAGTCATGGCGTCAATCCGATTCAAAACGCTAGTCAACACAAAACATCGAGGCACATTAGATAAAAAACATATACATATACGTATAAAAATAGTTTCAAATGTACATACATACTTACGTACAACCATAAAGGCGTACCTGCTATTTGCATTTTAAATTTGCAATATACATTTTAGTTTAGGATGTTAGCAATTATTGAAGTTTTTGCTTAAGTACCCCTTGGATGTTTTTACAGCCGATACTGTTTTGTAATTAATGTTGTACGATTTCTTTTGATTTCCGATAACCATTACTATGTATATCGTTTTACTTTCTTTTTTTTAAAGAAAGGAATTTTATTGTATATATACAGTATCGGTCATATCTATAGCACGCCATTTCAAAGTGATATTGTGTGCCACTTATATTTATTTATTTATTTTTAAGAATTTTCAATTAAAATACAGTTCTTTCTCTAACAAAACCCATATAAACCCAAGTTTAAAAATTTGTAGAAAACTACAAAAAAGTGCAACAAATTTTCACCTAAATTTCAAACTTTTTTCTCGGAAGTGTTTGAATTTTTCTGAATACACAGTTTTATAGCCCAATCAATTTTAGTCTGATAATGTGCAAGTTTCAAGTGGCTAAAAGTTACCGCTGATTTTTTAGAATTTTTTTCGCCAAGGATGTTGCGGTTTTCTTCCATATACAAAAAAATTTAGTTTATTCATTATATGGAAGCCAATGCGACAAAAAAAAATTCTAAAAAATAAACGATAATTTGGAGCCACTTGAAATTTGCACAATATCAGACTAAAATTGCAGGGGCTAAAAAACAGTGTACTCAAAAAAATTCTAACACTTCCGGGAAAAAAGTTTCAAATTTAGGTGAAAATTTGTTACCCTTTTTTGTAGTTTTCTACAAATTGTTGAACTTGGGTATATATGGGGTTTGTCTGAGAATGAACTAAATTTTAATTGAAAATTCTTAAAAATAAGTAAATGAACAATGCACACAATATCACTTGGAAACGGCGTGCTATAGATATGACCGATACTGTACATATAGTTTTCTTTCTGATCTGAGTTGCATGACGTTGTTAAGCTCTTTGTATACTAAATAGTTAATTTCTTTTATAAAATGAAAAAAAAATTAATCAGTTACTATAAAAGTATATTTAGAAAATGTTTATGAAATTCTTAATTTCGTATAATTTAATTGAGTGTTCGAAATTTGTTAAATATGTATGATTAATACTAAACAACTTGTTTTGTATCTATTTAATTGCGTGTATGGCTACTACTTTTGTTTTTGATTAAATTTACACTCAAACGCTTTACTTTACAAATAGTAAAAAACCTCGAACTCCAAAAATACGCCAAACTAATAATTTCTCCCCCTGCATCTTCGCAGCTCTTTACACTCTGGTCATGGCTGCCCGTCAGAATAACAATGTATCAGCCGGTACTGCTCTATACCACAGAGGAACATGGCTGCTCGCTGACTACTTTCTATGTGCGCGTGGAGCAACATGAGCCTACGTTAATGATGATCAAAACGTGCAATAATGAGGTAAGCAAATGACAAAAAAAAAAAAAAACTGCAATAATATTAAATGGAAGTTTCACTCAAACACACTCTCTCCAATTACAGGTCTTCGGCGCCTACTGCTCATCGCGTTGGTTTGAACGCAATGTCAAAGACGACAAGGGCCAACGACAGGCCTACTTTGGCACCGGCGAAACCTTCCTCTTCTCGCTCTACCCAGAACGTGCCAAATACCCATGGGTTGGCATTGAAAATGAAAAGGATTTGGGGCATGCGTCGGAGCTATTCATGGCAGCCGATTCAAAGATGATTACCATTGGTGGCGGGTAAATAAATTCCTCTACAAATACAAAAAAACAAAAAAATACTATCTGTGGACTACCTAGTTGTGCGGCTTTGACTTTGTTTCTTAAAAATCTTTAGCTGTTTGAGGGGACCTTTTCTGTTAAAAGATCACAGATATACTTTGCACATCTTTATCCTTTTTTTTTTAATCACTCCTTTCTTTTTCCAACAGTGAGGGCCAAGCCATTTGGATGGATGAGAATATACGTTTTGGCAAAACAGACAGCTGCAAGACATTCAACAATCCGCCGCTATGTCCCTCTGGTGATTTCGAAATACGTGTGCTTGAAGTATATGGATTTGATGGTATTTAAGCGAATGGACGCATACACAAACATCTAAATAGAAAAAAAATCATACACACCTTCCGACAAAGAATGTGCCACATATTTGTAAATCATTTGTTGCTCGCAAAGGCTCAAATGAGGCGCTAAAGCGTTTAGTAACGTGCTTCTGTATTTTGTTTGTTTTCCTCCTGCCGCGAAGACAATGAGAGTTCAGTGTGAAACTCTTTGAATGCTTAACATGAAAATAAAGTTAAAAGAAAAGCAATGAAAAAGCTAAATGCTTATGCAGCACTCGCCAAAGAGCCGCTGGCACGAATTTCAAGCCAACTAAACCAGATTGGAAGCATATAAAAATTATTTCATTCAAAAATGCCCGCCGAAAAGTCTTCTATTGATGATGATGATGATGGGACATGTCCAGGAGCACAGATTGGCGTGAAATGTTCAAGGCGCAGTATTTTTCGTATAATTATACTTCATATATATATAACTATATACATACATACATACATATATGCATTATAAAGTAATTCTCGTGGCTGAAATGCCAACGCACTATTTGATGAGTGTTATTATGCCTATTACTATATAGTTGTAATAATCATTTATATACATATACATACACATATTGTTGTAGAATACAGCAGCATAAAACGGATAAAATACTCTATATAGGCGTGGTAAAAAGAAGAAAAAAAATGCAAAAACTAAAACTTTGTTTAGATGTATAGAAAAATGAAATGAAGTTGGAATAAAAACGCATGGCGTTGACAAACAAACCGTACATACATCCCGACATAAAAAATGATTGCGTCAAAATTGTGTATGTTGGAAAATTTTTTGATAGCTTGCAGTGCAGTGGAGCTTGAGCAAACGTAGTAAATAACAGTCATAGAGAAATGCGGCAAATGAAAGTGTAATAATACAAACCCACACACAAACATATATATATAAACATGTGCTCATGAATATGACGTTAATCTTGAAGTTTAGTAATACATACATACAAGTAAGTTTAGCAGCTAAGCACCGAGTCTCTAAACGTTGAGGGTTGTGCTTCATAAAATCATAACACTTGTTGGTATTTTGTTATATTGAAATTCTTTTTTGTTTCAAATTTTCCAAGCATTTGCCAAACGAAATTAGTGCATATTAGGTAGGAGAAAATAATTTCTGGGGTGAACTCCGTTAACTTTAATGTTTTTGTTTTGTACATCTTATAATTTACAGAAACCGGTATTGATTTGTATAAAGTCACAGGTGACCATGAACAGCTATCACGAATAGATGCATATCAAATGAATTATGTAGCTACATATATCACTGAATAAGACGTGAATGTTTGAGAAGACGTTAAAGCCAAAAAGCAACAAGGTGAAAAGAAACGTAGAATCGAAAAGTGAATTTTGTTTTCCAAATATGAACTTTTGTATGGTATGAGTAGTTGTACGATTAAATTTGATTTATTTATAATTGCTTACATTTTGTTAGNCCATGAACAGCTATCACGAATAGATGCATATCAAATGAATTATGTAGCTATATCACTGAATAAGACGTGAATGTTTGAGGAGAAGTTAAAGCCAAAAAGCAACAAGGTGAAAAGAAACGAAGAATCGAAAAGTGAATTTTGTTTTCCAACTATGAACTTTTGTATGGTATGAGTAGTTGTACGATTAAATTTGATTTATTTATAATTGCTTACATTTTGTTATAATCCTTCGCACTAGAATTAATCAATGTTCGATACCACAGCAGATACGTTTATACTTCAAGCTAATGCTATGCATTTAGAAAAGCTACTCGTGACTTCATTTAAAGTTGGTAAACGTTTTCACAGCGCTCTAAAGTGTTAGTTACCTTATTTTAATATTCTTTTTAGAGCTTCATATGATTTAACTTCCGTCTATGATTTCGAATTTTCGGCTTCTTTTAGTAACCGGTTCTGACATTTTTTCAGTTGCATGAGTTTACCAAATGCATTGATAATTGGCATTTACGCCTGTTAAAAGAGCTCTGATAAATCCTTTGGTTTTTGATTTCTACCTTAAAGTGGCATTCGATTGAGTGATGACAGCGGGAGAAGGAGAAATAGGAGCGCCGAAGTGTGCTAATTGCTGTTGAGAAGGTATCTATGCATTGCGTGAAGTATAATCATGTCTATGTTTCTTGTGCAATGTATGTTAAGTATGCCATAACTACTGAGCCTTAAATCTGGGGTTGGAATACATCTAAACGCTGGCATCGTCACATTTCAATGAAAAGTAGAGAAGGGCAATTGTTAAGAAGGAAGGCAATTAATTTCGAACTGATCATTATAATTTCTTTTGTATTGTTTTTTTTTTATTCACGCTAAAGAATATAGTTTTAATTTTACTTCGTTTCATCACTCTTTCTGTTCTATGTAATTACGGATGCTATTTCTGAATTACAATGTAAGGAATTGTCAAGAAAATATTGAATTGTATTATTTATTTGTACTTTTAAGATGCGTAATTTTTTATGACAGATAATTTCGTTGCTTTCAATTTCATGGTTGTTAGTTGATTACTTTTTTTTATGTACGATATGGAAGATAAGATTGAAATGCTAATTACTTTTGAGAATTTGCATTGAAATGAACTGCTCAATTTTTTCGAGCACATTAAGAAATATAAGTATATAACACAAAATATGTACGATACCTATACTAACTAATAGGTATTGTAAATATGTATGTATTGATGATAACTGAACTAAATTCTGCATTAACAAAAATTTGTATAATAATGAATTATAAGCATATAATACCAGTCCACTTTGCGCTAACCGACAATGAATATTAATACTAGATGTATTTATGTACGACAACAAACGAGGAACATACATTAAAAAAAAATAATAATAATAATTTTCTGTAGATTACTAAGCGTTTAAGAGATTTACTTTATAGACATTAGTGAATATACATATATGTTAGTGTAAAACGAGAATAAGTTATTATCTGTGGTCTTTGTTATTGTTCAGCCAAAAAAATCCTAATCCTGCACAGACATTCTATAGCACTTTAAATAACACTCTATATAATATGTTGAAAAAAGCAAACAAGCAACGTAATTTTAAACCAAGTGAACCGTCAAGAAAAGATCAATTTGCATTGATAATGAGTGCCTGTAAGAAGGGTAATTGAAATCGCAAGTTTTTTATCTGAAAAATTGCTCTATAAAAATCCAACTTGCTGGTCACAAATTTTCAGCTAGCAGCGCTCGTTCTATATATTTAATTGACTGTCGACACCCTGCTTATCATTTCAAAAATTTATTTAAATTTTTTTCTGTTGACCCATTGCACTTGGTTCTTTTTTACCTCACTTTTATTAGCTTGGGATGTAACTATATAATATTTATGCGCCTACACGAAGCAGCGATTTCCATTATCAACCTGATGACAGTACGAATTGTAATTGCTTTAAATTTCCATTCTTAAAGTAACCTGATGACAGTACGAGCGCAAATTATGCAAAGCGAGTTTTTAGTTTTTTAAACTATAATGTTTTTCTTTTTATTTCTATCCATATTTATTTGCTTTGTAAATATTTGCGCATAAATTTTAATTGATCTCATTTCTGTATGTCTGTATGGTAAATTTATAGTGCACCTCCTCTCTAGCTGTAGGTTTGTAGTTTGAGAGTGAAAATGAAAATGTAAGAAAATAAAATTAGCAGCTAAACATTCATTGCAATAGAGCAAAATGTGACTGTTTGTCTTGTAATGCTTATGTGGTTAATATAATTTAAGCGAACAAATTTTAAACGAACTAATAGAGCCTGCTTTGTGCACGTAAATTTTTCACATCTTTTCAAATTCTGTGCAGTTTATGTATTATTTATGTTTCTTATAAATAATTACTTTCAAATTAATATCTTAAATGTTATTAAGTACATAAATTTGCACATTAGAAGTGTAAAAAGTAATCATACTTATTCATATAAATAATTGCTATCCATTGATTATAAACAATTTGCTAATTTTTGTAATATAAGATTATTGAAGGTAAACTTTTCATTTCATTTAAAATCTCCTTTAAACTGATGCTATTGTCTAGTCAATTGAATTGAATTTGCATCATTCCCATATGATTTTTCCTAGTATATATATATTCTTTTAAAAGAACTGATCGCTTGCAATTCGTTGAAACACAGGACACAGCGAGAAATAATAGATGTTGTAAAGGAAATCAAAGTAAGCAACCAAAAACCTTATTAAGCCTTTTCAATATGTACATAGGTTTCGGAAATAAAGCATTATATTCAGTCAGGTTCTTCAATTAACTGCCGAGTGAATTTCAACCAAAGTCACTTTAAAATCAAATTGAATGGGCTTGAACTCTATTCAGAGGTGAATTGCACAATGAGCGAATTATTATTAATTTCTCGATTCTGGTAAGAGTGAAAACATTTCATACTAAACACTACGTAAGTGTGATTTTTAATAATTTTTTGCTTTTACACGAGGCGAATTCATAAAACAAGGACTACCATGTATTTTGTTTTCGCTTTCGGTATACAAATGTTAAATTTCAGCTATTCTTCGCTCAAGGATACTTTCGCACTCATAAGGAGTTTTGAAATACATACATATGTGCACCGAGCCAAATTAAACCAGCTGTTCTAGCAACGCCAGCTTATATGAATTCGCCTTGCTTTTAGATTTCAATTAATATTGACTTTTTGTGGCGTCTGAAATTCAGTTGTTGCCACAAAAGCAAATTAAACTTTTGAAAAATTTCTATAAACTCCACAAATCAAAATTATCATCGCTTATCAGTTCCTCAGAGAACCTTAAACATTTTTTTTTCGATTCGCCTGCTTCGTGACGGAGATAAATGCAATTAAAGCAGCGGCCACTAAAACACATTTTTGATACATTTGATGTTTCTTATTCGAAGCATGCGTTTCCGAGCATACAAACACACCTATTGCGAATGTCGACTAGAAGTAGATAAACGACTATATTATTCAATTATCGCGTTTCCATGATATTGTGAAAGTCGATTCCTCGACACAACGACGCTCACAATACCATGAAAAGGCGATAATCGAATAATAGTCGTTTATCTACTACCAGACGACACTCGCAATAGGGGTGAAAAACTTGCGTATTAAACAATTGTAACATTCGAATGGTTAGCTTAGAATGTGTAACTAGATCTAAATATTGAAACATCTCTAAGCTACTAAATTAGGCCAATATTGGTATTGTGAAAATCGCTGCGCTATAGTTTCATTTCCGAATTTCTCTAACTGAAATGTATTGGCTAGGTGCCAATGCCATATGTAAAAGAAAGCAAATAGTTGTAGTACGAGAGGAGATTCGAATTTGGCGTAGCGATTTTCAGAATCCCATTGCGAACGGCCTAACAGGTTTTTCACTTGGTTTTTTATACTCTGCTTGTTTGCGCAAAAGCAAAAATTCTCACTTCAAACTCATGTAATAGTAATGCAATAAATAAATGTTGTTGAATAAATGATTATGTAATTTATTGAAGTAAATACATCGATTTGTTTAAGTTTATTTTGTAATCAGCTTAAGAACACGCAACTATGTACATACGCACATACATACATATGTATGTGTGCATATGTTACCGGCCAAAGCCGATCTTAGAACAAACTAGTTTTGCCTAGGCTAAACTAGATCAGGGGCCACAGTATTTTTGCGCAGAACACCTTTAAGCGCAGGCTTAAAATAACCCTCATCAGTCCAACTCCAGGTACGCAGTCCACAATATTATTGCGTCCAACTTGTTTCCGCATTGGACGGATATATTAGATCTAGGTACAACTAGTTTAGCATAGGAAAAAAAACTTAGTTTGTGCTAAGATAGGGTTTGGCCAGTAATATATACATACCGAGCCCTAACCGCCAAAATAACGTAAGCGACATTTTTTTCAAAATTTTATTTTTGATGCAGAAATATTCCTAGGGCATCTAGATGTATTTCTGCATCAAAAAGAAAATTTTGAAAAAATGTCGCTTACGTTGTTTTGGCGGTTAGGGCTCGATACTATAAAGTTACCTAGTCGACACAGCGATTTAACTAAACGCTTTCAAGGAGGGCATTTTGAATAAGACTTTCTCTGAGAAAGCTGTGCTGCAAGATCTGCCAATAGCGCTGCATTCGACAGCAGACGAGAGGTTGTGTTTCCTTGGCCAAGGAATTCAAATAAACTAGAAAATCGCAGTAAAAATGCGATTCTTATTTCATGCAAAGCTTTTCCCCTATAAAGGAAGCTGAATCATAGGCCTTGAGACTATAGCAAAGAATCGAACAAAGAACGCCTATCGCTTCGAAAGATCCGACATAGGGACTCTGAGAAGGACTATTTATTCCAAATTTTGCCGACTGGGTATTGTTTGTGTATGTATGTACGTATGTAGGAGTGAAATCGATTATTTACATAAGTGCTGTTAGTGTATATGTATGTAGTTGTCACCCCATTGTTATTGTTTAAACCCCATTACCTATTTAGGCACTCACCCGAAGCGCAAGCAATTAAACAAATTCGTTCTTTGCCTACTCGTTTTTGTTAAATATTTTTATTGTTTTTTTGTAATATTTTATTTTTTTACCAAATAAGTTGTATATTTACATATGTATATGCACGAGTAAGTGAGTGTAATACACATTGTTGTTGACGGTTAGTCGGCGGAGTGCAGAGAAGTTATCAATTTTGTGACATTTTTTGTTGCTATTGTTGTTGTATGTTTTATGTGATGCGTAGCCTGGAATTAAGCAAGTTTTATCAGTATTCTATATCATTAGTTTTTATATAAAAAATTAAGTTTCCTATAAAAATTAAGTAAAAGAAAACTTTGTAATTCAAGTATACAATGTCTATATGTACATACGTGTTTGTGCACTAGTTTACTTTGGCAAAATAATGTTTTTTTTTTTTTTAAATACGAACCAAAATAAGTAACTGATTTGTTATCAAAAACGAAAAAAAAAACAAAAAAAACAATAATAAATGCATTGTAGAAAAATATGTATATTAAATGACTTAGCCACCAAAAAGGTCCAAAAAATTGGTAAAAAGTAAAAAAAAAAGAAATGAGAAATACAAAACAACAAATACATAGTGGAAACCGTCTTTTGTTATATTAAATGTGTAGCTCTTCAAAATATACAAATGCATGTTTATGTCTTCAATCTAGAAGTGCAAATATTTACATACATAAATATACAATATGACAGTTTATTTATATAAATATATATGTATGTACATTTGCTATATAAATTTATAAATATGTATATGTATGTGTAGTGCATAGATTTTGATTGTGTGTGCAAGTAGCTTTCTATCTATCTATGTGTGTATATCGATATACAATATACAAAGCTCATAAATGCATATATATGTATATATGTATGTATATGTATTTCTAGCTGCATTCAAAATTGCATAAATTTTAATCGTTATATACAGTAGCTATATGCATACATACATATATTTGAGTTATGTACACGTAGAATATGTATATATATGTTAATTGTTTTAAATACCTTATATGTATGTATGTATTTAATTATTATCATCCGGGTCATCTTATTATATATACACACATACGTAACTATATTCATTCGTCAACGCTATGAGTTTAATGACAATTTATTAATAAAAGAAAAAAGAAATATATGAAACATTTAACTAAATGTTAATAATTAACTGAAATATGAATTAGCCTACTATTACGAATAAAGTACATACATACTGTTATAGTTACTCCGATTATTACAATAAAATAATTATTATTAAAAAAATATTCATATAATTATAGTTAATAAAGAAAATATTGAAATTTTAATTATTACTATTATTATTGAAAATGTACGTGAATTTTCTGATGTAAAACAGAAACACCAAACGAATTATATTATATGTATATGTTGAAAATATAAAACATTTAAATAAAATTAAAATCAAAGAAATTGTCATAATTTAATAAAAAGTGCGCAGAAAAAAATTATGTGCGAAAATTATAAAAAAAAGGTTTAAAGTTTAGTCATTTTAATAGAAATACATAAAAGGGGGCTTTTTCAAGTAGCTGCTGCAGTAATGTTGTTGTTGCAAAATCCACCTAAATCAGTAAATCCACTAGGTGTTGTTGTTGTTGTAGAGCAGCTACACAACCACGCCTAGAGCTCAGTGGGCTGTAGGGGGCATGCAAAGAGAAGTGTCGAGTCGTGGGGTTTTCTCCGTATGCCGGACACATCTGTATCTAATCTGCTCAGGTACGAATTCAACTTGCTGAAGTAGCCAGAGCGAAGTTGGGCTATTGTGGTTCGAGTCTTCTGGGCAGACGAAGCTCTGTCTCGTCCACGTTAGGTGGTTGTGTTCCCAAAACGGCATTCATTGTGTCCGTGTGTGAGTCTTTGGTTGTGTTGTGTTGGGGTGTGGTTGAGTTGGTGTTGTGTTGCTGAGGTGAACTCCGGTGTGTCGTGGACGCGGTCCGGTTTCAACAGCACGGGGCCACGAACGACTTGGTCCACTGCCTGCTGGTAAGTGCTAAAACCCGAACTGGTGCGGAGTAAGCTTCACCCATCGCAAGTGTTGCACCTGACCGAGGTGAAGTTCGGATGCAGTCGTCTCTGGCATACTCGGCTGGTGTATGTTTCTGGCCCTAGGGTTTGACTCTGCCAGCCCTGAGCAGAAGAATATGGAGCATATGTTGCCCCATGGAGGAATCGCGTTTGAGAGAATTCGCTGACCTAAACAAGGTTAGAACGCCGAAACAATAGCCCTTGTTCGGGTAGAACCCGTGTCATTTCGGTACGTAGAACCGGCTATCGTGGGAACTATTATTTCGGCTTATTCGCCGTCGATTTTTATACATAGGCAGTGAAAGGCACCGCCGTTGATTTTGTGGGGAGAGGGTAAGGTTAAGGCCATCAATGCCATTTCCAGGCGGGCTACTCTGTAATGCGATACGAAATGGAAATGCGATGCGATAGGCAATCGCACAGCGTATTACTTACGATGTATTTGCCTATCGTATCGCATTGCTCTTTCCTATCGCACTACAGAGTAGCCCACCTGACGTCAATGTCGTCAGCGTTGAAGATCAGTGAAACTCCCTCTGGTGGCAGAGAAAACTACGAGATGTGAAATGTAAACAGTACTGGGAAGATGACATCTCTTAACATTACATTATTCTTGAATTCCAGGTTTGCTATCGAAGGAGTGCCAGCAACGGTATAATACTCGGAAAACGCAGGGCTAGGAAGGGACATCTCCAAGCTCAACTCATCTATACATTTTCGAAACACCTTCATTCCAATGATAACATTTGTTTGACCCCGAGCCGAGAAATTGAAAATAAAACGATTTGACCTGTACATAGATGTCAATAACAACCGACCTCTCTCATAAGTGTATACTAGAGCTGTCAAACTATCGATAGTCAAGTCCATCGATGTTTTACGATAGTCTTAAGGGTGACTATCGATACTATCGATAGTATCGACCCATTTCAAATGTTTTTCTAAATCCATTTATTTTTCGTTATCTTGCTTTTATAAATTTGTTTATTTTAGCGGTTCACGGTTGCATTTAAATATCGAGAAATATTGCTAGAAATTCATTCGTGTAAACAGTCAAAAAGCGATTTCAGAAATTCTCGCTACAATTCGCCTTTCAGGGAAAAAAAAATCTTTCGAAAGACACTTTACATGCAAGGTGCCACTGCTCATGCAACAGCTTTCTGCAATTTCTCAATTTGACAGTCTTTTGAAATATACTGCATTGCTCGGTCTAAGACGGCAATATAACCTCTGCTATTTCCACGCTTAAAATAAAAAATAGCGCTTTTAGAAATAATGCCATGAACCACTTAACAGATCACCCAGCACGGCAACCGCGTATTTGTAATTGCATTTGAGAAAGAAAATAATAGTTGGTAACGTCATTTTTTATTAGGTTGTTTCATTCACACAGATTGTTTCATTCCGTTTCATTCACATGGCGGCGAAAAAATTACGCACTGCACAAAAAAAATAAAAATATTTTTTCTCGCACACCGTCCTGGGTGATCTTTATTCGTTCGTTCATGAAATAATGCTGCCAATTTTTGTTCTCTTTGAGCCATGAAAGAGAATACGCTATCAATGAAACGATAGTGGCGATAGTATTAAAACTATCGATAGTTATTTCAAGTGATCAGACTATCGATACTATCGATAGTATCGGCGATAGTTTGACAGCTCTAGTGCATACCAGTGGCAAAGACTATCGGCTTTCATGTGTGTATCGCTCACCTTAAGAAGTTTTATTTTTATAAACTTGTATAACTACTCTGTATAGAAACACAAATAGGGCATTTAAAAGAATACAGAAAAAAATCGACGAATTATAAAGTAAATTTCACTTCGTGTCTCTTTATTGTGAGAATACAGTACAAGACACACAACACCTAAACTATTGTTAGAACATCCCTTGAATGCGGTTCAAAGCCAGTGCCGCTAAAGTTAATCCGACCAATGTTAGTGTATGCCACACACTTAGGGAGTGCTGGGCCTCATTGAGGGCATTTACGTTGCACAAGTCTTCCGTGCAAACTGAACACGAAATCAAATTAGCCCATGGCACATACGGATCTGGGGCTTCACAGGCTTCATCAACATCCTCCGGATCACCGAAATAACAGCTACGTCGAATGTAAAAGCGGCGATCAGCGACTAAGGAAGGAAAATCGAACGAAGGTGAGCACAATTTTTTTACCATCGAAAGAAAGAATATAAAAAATGAGTTGGAGAATTTTATGTAGTACCCTTGCTCTTTCCACGTAATGCTCATACACTTACCTCCCTCGTGCACCTTCGTTAAACAGCCGGTAGCTTTTATGCGACGCTCGTACTTATGCAAATACGCTGGCATATCCGCGTCATCACAGTCGGTTTGCTTGACTCCCTCGGGATCGAAATATTGATTACAGCGTGGATCGCTCAGCGACTCGCAATCATAGCATTCGATACTAAGTGCTGATGGGAGATGTTTGGAGATTCAGATTCGGTTTAAAGACAAAATATGCAAATATAAGCACTAATAGTGTAAATAAGTTCAAGGTTTTTTAAACTGGATTTATTTGTTCCTCTCCACCTACCTGCTGATATGCAGCCACAAATTATCATAAATATTAGCGCTGACCTCATCGCGTTCCACTGTTCTCACTAGTGCAATATACTTTTTCAAACAAATATTACTTTTTCAAAAAAATAAAATTTTATTTCCAAATGGCGAATACTCTTGGTCGTACCGATGTTTCCGATGTTTCAGCAAGAATGGAACTGAAATCTCCCACGACGGAAATAAAATTATGATGATTGCGACAAAATTACGTCTCTTTCAAACATTTGCCAAGAGCAGATTCTAAAGGCGCATGGGACATTTTTAGCTTACTTTTATTTATTACCTATAGGTATGTATGTACATATGTACATACATATGTAGTATATACTGTGGCATGTGGGTTAGAGGCACACCTACTTATTCGCTGAAAAGTTAAATTTTTCGAAAACTAGTCATCGTTTTCTTCAGGAACTGCCACTTGGGTCAATATGTAGGAAAAAATAGTCTGATAGATCCTCATAGTTTAATTTTTGTTCAAAGGTTATAGACTCAAGTTTGTGCTCTACCCTAATGAGCATAAGAAGCAGTTCACGTTTTGGTTCATCTCGACACTTTCTCTTTTGTATAATTAGTTGGGAGAAAAAAAAACGAGGAGAGGCCAGAAGCGAAAGAAACTTTCTCGTCAAGAATTTGTTTTGGTGCTGCACCGTGTAACGATGGAGAAGAGAGCAACAACAGATGCCTCTCATGTCCATAGAGTCAAATAACTAAAGACATATGTACATATTTATATTTTCAAAATAATAAAAAAAAACTTATACTATATGACGCATAGTTAATATTTTTGGGTTTCCGGAGAGTGAAAAAATATTTTTCCCATGCCAATTTTTGAAAACTCGTATTATTCATGGAACGATCTATCCAGTTATGTAGATTTATTTTCGGATTTATTGTTTAATGTTGATTTCGTTGCTTCCAAAAAATGTTGCCCTACTCGATGCAAAATGCGTTTGATGTTGCACTCAACCCTGTCAAAGGGCATGTCTTCGCCTTCTTGTCGTTGTCTAACTCACGTATTTCATAATATTGTCGTTTTAAAGAGCCATCTGATTTTCAGCGCAACTATCTCCATTGACGCAACTTCAAAGAACAGAAAGTGTGCCTTTTTTGCCTTACAAGAGTGTGTCATTTTAAGAAACGAAATCTCCTCACCCTTTGCCTTTAATTTTGAATCGAACACGAAAAGAGAAAGGGGCAATCAAAAGACGACATTTTTGGTAGAAACGTAATCACCATAAATTAAAGCCCAAGAGGGAAACCCGATTTGGTATTCTAGAATTCTGGATACTATAGTTAGAACTATCAGGCAGCTAGATTACGGTACTCTTAAGCTAATCAATAAAATTGGTAGCGCCATCCAACTATTATAAAACATAAGCCTGAGTTAACCAGAGTGCTTTAATGTTTTCCAGCCAAAGAGCCGGTTCTCTGTCTTAGGAACTCTTACTGCACAGAGAGATCGATCACCATCTATTTTGACGGCTAGTCTGGTGTTAATGCTTCACAGTGCAACTCAGTCTCTTTAACGAGTTGGCTATGAGATGCACTCCTCGTCATTTGAATAAGTAGTGCACCCATTTAACCGTTAGTATTTACAGTTTTCCTTTTCATTATTTCATATTCATTAATTTCTTATAAAAATATAGCATATTCTACGTGTCAATCTGATTTTAAAATTCCATAAAAATACAAAAAAAAAATTCAACAAAGGGGTGTTCTATCCTAATGACCTACAGTGAATAAGTTAATAATATTTTTATAAAAATTTCGGATATTCAATTTTAGTATAATAAAGTGCAATTTTCAAGTGGCTTTAAAATAGCGTCGATTTTTGAATTTTTATTTTTTTTGCCGAGCATACTTTGTGACGAGGAGTGTACACAAAGAATGACGTCTTGGTTCTCGAACATACATATATGGCAATGGACAAATTGCACAGATTTGTTCATTTTGCCAGGTACAGAGTGGTGTTGTTCGGAAATTCTTTTATTGAGCTGAACTCAAATTCCTAAACAACACCACTCTGTGACTGGAAAAAATTTAAAATTCTGTACAAATGTACAATTCGGGTTATCTTCGCTTAACTTGCATGAATCAAACTATGGCGCAAATCAGCTAGTGGTCGCACAAAGGGTTTCCTGGTCCTTTAGTTTCTGTATGGAGAGTGGCGGCCTTCGTATCATAACCTTACCTATAGCGAATCCCTACCTCGAAATGAGTAAAGTAGTTATGTTGAATTGTGTTTAAATGGCCAATTGGCTTTAATTAGTTGACATTGTTTTAGCACGCGTTGTTTTCTATTTACTTTATTTTAACCTTACTCCTATGTATAAGAAAACATATTCTTTGCGGTTTTTTCTTGCATTTTTAATTGTATGTCTATCTACATATATATCGAATTTTTCTACTTCGCTACAGTCTACCAAACCGAAAATCGAGTTACACACATATTGCACGAGCTCTTCAAAAGTGCATTAACTCAAAATATTAATTTTTTATATACAAATTTTTTAAGCTAAAATTTTAGCTAACTGTTTGGCCGAGCTTCACCTCAAATTCATTTTCAATACTAAGAATTACAATTACGAACAGCTAGTACTTAGTTTTTTACCTTCCAGCCAGAGCAGAAGTAATATTTTGTTGTGATTAGCTTCAAAAACTCGCAGCCAAATTCCACCGATATGATTATCTACCATAAACACACAGAAATATGTAGTTTTATGCGAAATTTTAAGTTGATATATTTTTGAAGAACTCGTGCGAAATGTACATAGTCGTGTATGGACTAATAAAAACGGAAATTAAATTTAAGCTATTTATTCCTACTTATTATTTGGAGTGGGTTCTTGTGTTTTGAACAATATCNTTTTTGCATCGGAAAGGTAGTGTCTCAGAGGTGGTCCCATACTAATCTGGTTGAGATCCGATCAGTGGATCATAAGATATATATATATATATATATATTTTTTTATATGGGAGTTGAAGTCGGTTTTTTTTGGTAAAAATTACTTGTGGTATACCAACTGTATGAATTGATCAAACTTTGATTGCGTTTTGCCACAAAATTGCAATTTTTCGAATAATTCTGTATATTACTATTAAACGTACGGTATGTAGGTAGAGATCTTAAAAGCACACTGGGAAACTCGGTTCCAAGGTAAACAAATAGTGTACTATATACATATAATCTAACCTTTATACGCCCGCTTCATACATGCGGTGGCGTTCCGTATATCCAAATCGTTTTCTAGATAACGAGGCGGCGCAACGTGTGAACAGTCCCACTTGAAGTCGTCTTCCATGTCGAAATCATCGCCACAATTTGTGTTGTAAACAGATTCGCACGAGTAACATTGAATGGCCAAGGCTGGGAGAAAGAAGCAAAATTAAAAAAAAATAATAAATCAAAATGCATTAAAAACAGAAGCTATAGCTTATAACACCGTGCGACAAAAGCCAAAAAAAATTCAAAACACACGAAACAATCAATCTACTCATGAAACAATGGGCCAAATATCGTAAGGCTGCGTTTTAAGTTTTTCAATTTGACGTGAGGATTTTTTGAAAGGACTTTTGAAATTTTAGTGATATAATTAACTCAAAAAAACTATTTAAAAAAAATCAGTGTAATGTGCAATAACAGTATGGACACCAAATGAAAGAGAAAATTCTGTAGAATTGAAAAACAGTAAATAATTGGTTTACAAGGACGACTTAGTATTGAAAATACGCTTTTTAATTAATTAATTTTTTTTTTAGGTTAATAACGTTAGCGGAAAGAAATTCGAGGATGTGGTCGTGTGTCCTTAATTTGTAATTTTTTCAAAAAGAAATATTGCAATTTTTCAAGGATATTCAAGGATAAAATGTTAAAAGGAAATTTTCGATACCCTTCGTCCTTATGCACCAAAAAATGTTATATTTTTTAATTCTACAGGATTTTCCCTTTTTTTGAAACCCACATTGTTATTCTACATTGCACTCACATTTTTTAATAATTTTTTGAATTAATCATATTTTTGAAATTGCAAAGTCCTTTAAAAAATGCTGACGTCAGAGTGAAAAGTTAAAAACGCAGTCTTACTATATTTTTTCCGTATTTTCGCGAATATATTAATTTGTTTGTGTGTAAAATTTACTGCACGCACGGTGTAATGTATGGGGTATTCTTTTCGAACGTTGCCCCCACCCTGCCCATTTTTCTTTTAACTTAAAACTATTTTAAAAACATGGAAAATTCATTAAAAAACAAGCTTTCCAATGCCGAGTGGCAAAATAACGTGTGGGACAATTTCAAGGTCACATCGAGGTCAACGTGTTTTTTTTTTTTTTAACTGGTAACCCCCCTTTTGATTCAACAACTTTACTAATCGCTGTTGGGTAAATTTGATGAAAAAAAAAAAATATTGAATAGGAAGATTGACGCTTCATATGATCCTGACGGTCAAATTAACCCCACATATGATATGTTATTTGAACGTAGAATTCTCGTACGTATATAGCTTATTATATATAATAACAATACATATAAATATGTATGTATATACCACGTCGGAAATTTAATTACTTTGAAAGCAATGTAAAAAGTACTTTTTTACCACCACAAGCAGTTTGAATTCTGCATTTTTTCTTGCAAGCAAGTAACTTTTGCAATATTTTTGTACAGGTCCCTAAAAGCCCCGAAAAAATGCAATGAGGTTAGGAGACTTCAACCCAATTGTTTATTTAACATTTTGGTTTTTGTTTATTTAACACTTTTTTACATTGCAAATAATTAATTGGATATTATTGCTTGAAGTCTCTGAAGAGAAAAAGAGTTTGCGGATTGAAAAATATAGATTTTAAAGCATTATATGCCATTGCGATGAAAACTTGTTTATATATAGAAAACTCCTTGGGGAACATTACAATTCGGACTTTACTTTCTTTGGACCACCCTAATGTGTGTGCATACATCCTAAATATGCACATCCATATACACATATATACATACATACATATGTAAATATAAACTATTGGCGACGTAAGCAACGGATATTTTGTTTTAACCTAGAACGTAAAATGAATAATTGAAACTTTCATAAATCGCATAATTAATTTTTCCGAGTTGCATCCAATTTTCTGTCTATGTGTAAATATATTTTGAATGCAACCTATGTACATAACTAAAAAAAAAAATGGCGGGTATGACGCATCAGCAACACAGATGCCATTGCCTATACGTAATTCCGGAAACCGCAGAGTCCGGGCAGAATGAACGAATGTTGAAGTTCAAACTCTGGACAGAGAAGCTGCCAACATCTCAGCTATTTTACAACCATCTGTAAAGATATTTTAAGTATATGTGTCGATTGAATCGAAGTCTTTTCATTCAGCCATATCTTTCTATGTTTTACTGAACTAAATATCCACTTGCTTTTAACTACTCAGTGTAAAAATAAAGAATCTCGGGATTTTCGAGACTATTTCTGGATTCTCTATTCGGGACTTTGGAGACTACCTCTGGATTTCTGAGACTTC